TACATACTGTGATTTATTCCAAAGTGACTTATATGATGCATTTAACGTCAAATAATCTAAATGAAGCCTTTTAAAAGACAAGTATTCGCTGTGGTTCATGTTTGTGGCATGCGCCAGAAAGATGCTCAAGGAGACCGAGACGCATTCTGTTGTTCTCTTTATTTTTCAAAGGCATGACATTTTGTAGTTATTTTGAACATAACGCTACACAAATAAAAATATAAATTTTACCATACGACTATAAAGGACTGATTTCCTTGATGGGGGAAAAATCCAAGTGAACATCAATCAGTAATTTAAACTGCTTTAATTATGACTGATGCTTATTTCCTGTGCACTTCAATACCGGTCTGCGCTTGACTGTAGTCACATCTATCTGCTTATTGAGCTTATTTAATCCATCGCAATTTATTGGAACTGTGTGAACTAGAGTAATACGTGTATCATTCGATCATAGGTTTTTTGATTTAATATTGAAAGCAGAAAAATTAGAAAACTGATCCTTTTTCATTTTTTTCCAAAAAACGAAAAACGAGAATTCAGCTTAAATTTTCGTTTTTCATTCATGGGTGGAAAAATTAATAAACAGTTTGAATATTCGATTTCTACATGTGGGCGGGAATTAAACACCCCTTTCTGCTGATTGGTCAGCCGAAGATCAAACCGTGCCGTCATCAGTTCTTCTGCAGTATCACGCAGCAGAATAATAGTCCTCTGCTGCTGCAGTTGTACAGATTAAAAACCCATTTGATCAATTTCATATTTTTCTCAACAAACAGACTAAATGAATAGCTCGTCTAATGACAGAGTATTAAGTTCCCTCGATGGGGGGAAAATCCAAGTGAACATCAATCAGTACTCAATATAAATTTAAACTGCTTTAAATATGACTGCTGCTTATTTCCTGTGTACTTCAGTACTGGTCTGCGCTTGACTGTAGTCGCGTCTGTCTGCTTATTGAGTTTATTTAACCCATCGCAATTTCGCAACATCGCAATGTCCTGCCCGGGCTTGCCAATTTAATGGCAGAGAATGGTGACTTTAGTTGGGGTTTTTTTTACCGGATACATATCTGTCATAAAATAATTATATGCATCTCGTGGTGTATATTCCAAGCAGTCTGAACGTATACTGAGGGTTTGGTGAGAAAAAAACGAAATGGCAAGTTATTATATTTTATGAAAATCTTGCGTTGCAGCTCACACTGCGCACAAGTGCATATCCTTTTGAGATATCAATTATAATCAATTTTAATAAAACACAAGATTACATTATATAACTCTAACAGTAGGATTATTTAATATCAGTTGTTCTCTGGTTGTCAGTCAAAATGACAGTTCTTGCAACATAGGCCTATATATACCCAAGCCAATTTATTATTCTTTCCTTTCTTTCTTAGTGTTTAAAATATTTATTTTGAAACAAATTAATTAATTTCTTAATTAAACAAACAGACTTACTGGGTGAGCAGGGTAGGCTATGACAGCTGTCATATCAGACCCTGCCATGCCCAGCTGATGCAAAGAATAGAATTTATATCTACACAGAAGAAAGCCCTATCTAGACTCTGCCCCGGTATGAGTTGTGTCGAGCTATTCATTAGCCTGTTTGTTTGATGAAAAAAGATGAAATGTAGTTGCAATAAATGTGTGATACTGCAGAAGAACTGATGATGGCACGGTTTGATCTTCGGCTGACCAATCAGCAGAAAGGGGAGTTTAATTCCCGCCCACATGTAGAAATCATATATTCAAGCTGTTTATTCATTTTTCCACCCATGAACGAAAAACGAAAATTTAAGCTGAATTCTCATTTTTCGTTTTTAGGAAAAAAACGAAAAAGGATTAGTTTTCTCATTTTTCTACTTTCAATATTAAATAAAAAAATGAATGATCGAATGATACATGGATTTAGAGTAACTACTCACCTTAATGTTGTTCTAAAGGCTTATTACTTTTTTTCAAAACACACAAAAAATGTCCTGCTCGCACTTGCCAATTTAATGGCAGAGAATGGTGACTTTAGTTTTTTTTTTTTTAAGTGGATTCATATCTATCATAAAATAATCCTATGCATCTCGTGGCATATATTCCAAGCATTCTGAAGGTATACTTTAGTGAGAAACCAACCGAAATGGCAAGTTATTACATTTTATTAAATTTTGCATTGCAGTCCTGTGTGCGAGCGCATATCCTTTTGAGATTTCAATTATAATCAATTTTAATAAAACACAAGACTACATTATAAAACTCTAAGAGTAGGCTATTTAAAGGGGTCATATGATGTTGCTAAAAAGAACATTATTTTATGTATTTGGTGTAATGAAATTTGTTTATGCGATTTAAGGTTAAAAAAAACACATTATTTTCCACATACTGTACATTATTGTTTCTCCTCTATGCCCCGCCTTTCTGAAATGCGTCGATTTTTACAAAGCTCATCGGTCTGAAAAGCGAGGTGTGTTGTGATTGGCCAGCTATCCAGTGAGTTATGATTGGCCGAGTACCTCAAGCATGTGACGGAAATGTTACGCCCCCACCATACTGTGATGATGCCCTGACAGGCCTCAGTGATGATTCAAAAACAATAAAACCCATTATAAACGAGGCATTCGTTGCATCCAGTGGGGACATAATTATGGATTATATTGACTTTTGCGTTGCATCGCGCCGCATAAACATAAAACCAGGTCTGCATTTGTGATCGGAGAAATGACAAACAAAATGTCTGCATTAGTGGTTTCAAAGACTCTGCTCAAGGTGAAGGAACATAAACTGGGTTTTGATAGTTTTGGTTGGGCATTTAATTAGCTGAAAGTGAAGCTGTAAAGTAGGTTTAAGATGACAGCTACACAATGCTCTAGACAGGTTGTCTGAACTCCTGCTAATAAGTGGCGAATATATCCCAAAGGTGTGTGACATGATCCTGCACCATCTGGCAGTCATCATAATAAAACATTTAAGCAAACTTATGAAGTTAGAATTTTGAAATGTCAGGTATTTTATTATTTCATTACTGACAACTTTTTTAGTCAAATATTATGACTATTTATGAATGGCCATCAATGGAGAAAGATGCCTTTTTGCTGCCAGATGGTGTAGTTATGACATTTATCATCAAGGGCTAACAAGGCCATGTGAACATGTCAGACCTGTGAACATGTCAGACTTTTGATTTGGCCAAATTTTGAGTGGGAGTTTAGGATCTGTTGTCTGACCAATGGCAGAGGTAGTATTTGAGGAAACCTGTTTGAAAACACTCATTATTATTATTATTAGAGATGGGAACCAAAAACCATTATATACCATTTTCTTAAAAAAAAATACACATACACTACCATTTGGGATCACTTAGATTTTTTATTTATTTTTTGTCATATGCTCACCAAAGCTACATTCATCAACAATACAGTAAAAATAGTAGTAATACAGTGTAAATGTTCCTATTATTATCAATGTTGAAAACAGTTATGCCTAATATTTTTGTGGAAACTGATAATTTTTTAGGATTCTTTAATGCATAGAAAATTCAAAAGTACATCATTTATTTGAAATAGAAATCTTTGCAACAATGTAAAACTTTTGAACAATTTAATGAATCTTTGCTGAAAAAAAAAAAAACCTACTGACCACAATGGTAGTGTAAAGAATACATCCTTAAATATAATATTTACCAAATACAGAACTGCATGAGGTGTATTTTATGAAAATTTGATTTTAAAAAGTCATTTAAAAGTTAGTGTAAACACATTTTGCAAGAATACGTTTAAATTGACTACTTATTGAATTTCTTCCATTGGTAATAAAATGACATATCTTTTTTTTTTTTTTTTCAAATATTTATTACTTAAAAGAATTGTTAATTGAACCACTAAGGAACTGGAATCATTAAGCAGTAATCAGACTCAGAACCAGAAATAAACCATTAAATCTCTTTACGATTCCCATCCCTACACATTTCATCTTAAAATAGTACATTATCTGAGAGCATCATAGTATGATCCATCTGATCTTAGCGCATCTGATGTTCAAAATACTAAAAGCATCAGACCAATAACTTGATGCAAAGCTATTTTAATGTCTTAAAGACATTAATGTCAATTTAAATTAAATATGTCTTTGTGCATTGTGATATCATACTCAATAACCATTGATCTTAGAGCAGAGGGCAGACTATAGGATGTGACATAAAAGTAAGGTATGTTGTCCTTGCAATGCCAATGCAGAGCGTGTATGATGTCATCGGCCACTCTGACAATGATGTGTCGGTACATTTTATCAATCACAGAGTAAGTTATCTATACGCCCATTTCACAAATGAACAAAGCGAATTAAATCTCAGCTTCTGGTCCATTAACACAGGGGTGAACCCAAGGATTTAGGAAGGATGTGTGTTCCTACATTTCATCAAAGGGCTTTTAATAAGAGCATTCGGTTGAAGGCCAAGCATTGTCCCTCTAAAAGTGCCACATTTACAAAAAGCCTAGAGCCGAGGCGGGCCGAGAAATTTTTTTGCATTCCCCATTGTGAACAAAGATATAAACCACGACCTTCAGATCAATCATTAGTCCCTGTTCTATACTTGTCTGTTACTTTGCAAGCTGCATGTTTAATTTGTTGATTCATGGCATAGTGGCAGTCCATCCAAGGCATTAAAACCTCAAGCAATAACCCTGTTATTAAAATACTGGTTTCATAGACTTATAACCTCCCACCCTCCACAAAAAGTGCATGCGATTAAAAACTAATCGCATAAAATAATTTATCAAAAGTGCCACGATGGTTCCCACTCAAGACCTTTGCTTCTTAATTATTAATTCCCGCAATTAGACAACTTACTATGTACTGAGTGTGAGGGGCCCATGCAATATTAATAGCGATGCATAATTATGTAATACATTCCAGACATAAGAAGCTATATATCCACAGTGGGCTTGTCAAGATAAAGACATTTTTATTTGCTTTATAAGATTGTTTCATCTCCAAGAGGGTCTTGGTGGATAAAAGAGCCACAAATGCAGGGGTTTTAATGACCTCCCATATTACTTCTATCAAGTTTAAGACACACAAACATTAGGAAAGTATTCCAACACAACAGACAGTCTTGCTATCAAAGTGCACAGAATGCATCAAAGGCTTACCTTAAATAAAAAAATATGGATGAACCGCAGAGTCTGTCAACAAGGGAACAAATAAGGCCCCTGAATTAGGATGTAGAACACAGTGCATTGTGTGATAAATTATCAATTATGTTCATGCCAGTATTGGAAGATTATTGAAGGTCTTCATGGTGCCTGAAGCAAATATGGAACCCCATCTACAATGGACTTGCTGGAGAAGTTTGGCTTTCATCTCGAGATAAGCATCAAAGCTCGCTTCGAACAGAGAAAACTGGCAATCAAACTAATGTGTAACCGGGCAGTTGTGCACTTCACAAAGCCCATCATCAGAACAGCAGCTGAGATCACACAGAGACAGCGCCGTCTCCTCATACAAGGTCTTCCGAACATTATTTTTTTCCATGTTAGAAGCTATGGCGAGATGCTTTGAAAATCTTTAATGACTTGCTTGTGCGAGTGAACATCCTCATCGACCAGAAATCTTCATATATACAAATAAAACAGAAAGCTTCAGAATAACTCTTCTTGTTCAAATCTTCATCTTGGATTTCTAATTTGTAAGGACAGCACATAACTCTTTGATAATATTTTATGTTCACATCTAATCTCACATTAAATACAACGAACTGAATATACTTCTGAATGCTCAACAACTTTTCATTCAGTACATACCTGTTACTTAAAAGCCATTAGGTCCGCAGTTCAAGGTTACTTTTTTCTTTTCTGAATAAATGCAAAAAGAAAATGTGACATAAATTAGAAAATACAATATTATTCATTCAGAGCGACAAGTTCAGAGTGAGCTTGACATGGCAACCCACTCCACAGGCTACTGATATAACTAAAAGTGCATTATTTATATAAAAATTATATTATTAATTCATAGAAGTGTTAAACTTTTTAAGGCAAGACACCCCAGGTGAATAGAGTAAAGAATTTGTAAATATCACCATACTACTCCAGTTAACTTATCACATTAAGAATTGCAAAAAAATTTTGTATTACAAGATTTCTAAAATGTTATGTTTAAATATGAGAATCTATCTATAAATATGCACTAATCTGCATCAATTTCCAGAACAGAAATCTGAACATTGGATAAAGCAAGGTTCAAAATTCTTCATTTTGACATATTAAAGGTTTGTATTCACTCCATAAATCGTAAAATACTGTTAACAGTATTGTTAACATGCTTTTAGGATTAAAATCTAAAATCTGGCATACAGTATGATATACGGACAAACCCCTCAGTAAAAAAACCTTCAAAATATAGATGAGAATAAAACTGTTAAGTGCCACTGAAGTGGAGATTTGTGGCTCAGTGCAGGGGAAAAAATTTAATTTGAGAAATGCTCCATCCGTCCCTCGGGTCATTTTGACCCAAACATTTTTTTCAAAAAAATGCAAAAAATCGTTTGTTGATCATACTGGTCCAAGATTTCTTTACTTTTGTCACACTTTTTTGAATGGATTCGAGGAGTTTAAATGGGTGCAATAAAAAAAGTAACAAAACTGCATTTTTCATTACATTTGATTTTTTTTTTTTATATATATATACAAAATCTGAGACAATCCAGTAAATATTTATACACAAACGAAGGGCTGAGACTACAGAATATCCCCAATGCAGAAAAAACTCACATACACACACACACATGCACAAACACACACATGGTACACACACTCTCATAGAACACATTGTAATATTTTTCATGTTTCTGCTGGGTAATTTTTCCTTTTTTTTTAATTAACACAGTTAGATTTGAGTGATGTGGTGGATTAGATATAGATTATATCATATTTATATATTTTTTAATATATTATATATTTATTTCATATTTATGAAATTGTATGAATATACATGTTTAGGTTATAATTCAGTTAGAATTTTTTTGTTGTTGTTTTTTTTTACAAAATATGGATTTTGTAATGTTTCAATATATATTTTAATCCATAAACAACCAAATTTAAGCCTTAAGATGATCTAATTTCTCATGTTTCACTTGTTTTGTTCAGTTAAAAATCTCCATAGGGTTATATAGGCCCCTCTAGTGGCTGTAACCATAAAATGCAATTGTATGTAATTTTTCCCCACCAGATGGCATCAGAGACACTCAGTGACTCAATTCCAAGGCCATCTGTTGGTTTTTTTAGATGAGACAGGACTGAAATTCCCTTTCGTGGAACTTCGAACTGCGTCCTCTAGGGGTCGCTATGGGGGGGGAACGCCTCATCGTGACCCGTGTCTGAAGCCTACATTGAAAAAACACCAACTTGTTTGGCCGGCGACAGCCATGACGTCACTACCGTCGCAACTAGTACAAAATAGGCGCCGGTAGCGCACATCATCACTTTCTTCGTCTTCACTGACCGTTCTGTTTGAACCGTGCATTCCAAAAGCAAAGTAAGAGTATTTCTTTTCCTACTATGGCGAGCACTAGCGGAGCGTTTAGAAAGTGTGTACATCCGTGTCAGCGGTTTCTGACACCCGATGATTCACACGATCTATGCGTTGTTTGTTTGGGCGAGGAGCACGCACGCGATGTCTTCGAGGAGGCAATCTGCGTGCATTGCGAGAGCTTTTCGCTGAAAAAGCTCCGTTCTCGTTTGTCTCTCTTCTCGAGTGGAGAGGGACAACCATCGGTTTCCCGCGGCCGTGGTAGACTACTACCAATCTTGTCCCGGTGGGACCTGCACACTGTGAGGCTCTAGTAATGTCCCTTGGCAGCCTAGGCTTCTGGCCGCAGGGAGTAATGTCACTGACAGCCGTCTAGTCCAGGACAGGGGTAACTCCCATAGCGATATGGTGTAGTTGGTACTTAGTGGCTCGCCATGGTTCTGGCTTGCACTCCCCTCAGCATGGCGGCGTGGGTATACCGTTCCCCATAGCGACCCCTAGAGGACGCAGTTCGAAGTTCCACGAAAGGGAACGTCTCGGGTTACTTATGTTTATGTGACCATGGTTCCCTGAGGGGAACGAGACACTGCGTCCTCTAGCTTTTGTGCCATGCTGCGGACACAAGCTTCAGACGAAGAAGTGATGATGTGCGCTACCGGCGCCTATTTTGTACTAGTTGCGACGGTAGTGACGTCATGGCTGTCGCCGGCCAAACAAGTTGGTGTTTTTTCAATGTAGGCTTCAGACACGGGTCACGACGAGGCGTTCCCCCCCATAGCGACCCCTAGAGGACGCAGTGTCTCGTTCCCCTCAGGGAACCATGGTTACATAAGTAACCCGAGACGTTCTTTCTGTTTTTTTTTTTTGGTGAAATAATGTACAAAAACTGCTTATTTGTTTATGTTTTCTTAAAAATATCCAGAATAAAAGGTAAATATAATAAAAATCATCAAACAATAATAGAAAAACCTACATAAAAAATTATAAAAAAATTTTTTTATAAAAATGTTCCAATATTAAGCTTTCTGGACCAAAAATAAAATTAGTGTCATTTTTGGCCTTCGGGTCATTTTGACCCGCGAGGGACACTTTTGTTATAGGTTCGGAGATGTGGATTGAATGCAAAGATAAAGTGCAATAAAATAAACTCTTGTATTTTGGATGTTTTCTTTCCACTAGTCTGAAACATCATGTTATGTAAATCCAAACAATGTTTTGCCTAGTGTCTTGCCTAAAATGGGAATAAAAAAAGTAGGTTAAACCATTCAAAAACCATTTTGTGGAAACTGTTTGATAGGACATTGAAAGTGACACCATAACATATGATACACCCACACATTACATGACTACTGCATATTACATGATTGGTGTTCATTATTCCTGTTGTATGAAAGAAGATACAAAGTGGTGTGGTACACATTGCAGATCATGTAATACTACACTAAATGAGCGCTAGGCTCCAGCCCCAATCACAATCCAAAGAAAACATGGATGTACTTTTACATCTGTGAAGGGGTTTCCTGTTTCCAATGGACACTGGAGGGCTGCCATCCATTTTGAGGTCTGGTATGGATTAGACATTTTGATATTAAACAGGCAGGTTTCAGAAGTCTTCCTCTTGAGTAGAATACTAGATTTTAGTTTAGAACCAAAACGAAAGAACTTAAAAAGACTACAGTATGTGAAATACAAGAAATCACAGCTGTGAAATGCCAAGCACAAACAAAATATCTTGCATCTAGTGTCATTCAGATGTTTACGCCCCCATATCTAGTGCAGAACTTGCCATGAAAACATTTAAATGACTTTATCTCTTCCAGTTATTGCATGAGAGATAAAGCTATTAAGAGAATGGGAAACAAATGGAAGCTTTAAAGGCTAAATTTACATAGAAAATAAAGGAAGCATGCTGAGATGGTGTTTGGTGTCCATCATATGCAGGATAATGGTGTGGTTATATTCACCCAGGAGGCCATGCCTGCATTTGTCAAGCTTATGGTTTCAACCTATACAATTCTGGTATGGAACTGGTCAAGTTTGACAGCTCCTCAGCTCTCATGGACTTATGGGATAGCATAAGTGTCTATATTAGCATAAGTGTCTATATTTGCATCCCAGCAGATGCAGCATGTCATCTTAGTATCTCTGAGTTTTTGAACATCCTACTTAATTGAGGTAGTGTTTGTTGCATAAGGTATAGTATGGAAGTACACATACAATGTAAAGGTAGTTGTAAATTATTAAATATATTCAAGGAAGATGATCAATCACAATTCGGTATGCAAAAAGATGTTTAAAAAAAAGAAGAAGAGCAAATAAGTGATATTAAGTGTTATTATTATTGTTGATTATTATAGTTTTTATTAATAGTTTAGATTAGTTTTTTATTTTTATATTTTCTCATTTTAATTGTAGCAACTTTCAAATTTTTATAATTATCTTAGATATGTCTATATTTTTATTTCAGTTTTAGTTTTAGTTATTTTAGTACACCAAGTTAAACAAAATTAAAATGAGAAATGTTTCATCCATAACTGACTTCAAATAAGCTTTTGTTTATTTTATTTCAGTTAAGGTTTATTTTATTTGAAGTAAAAAACAACAACGATTTTTAATAAAAATAGATATTTTCACGATTTTAGTTTGATAAACGTCGCAAGGACATTGATGTTGGGTACATTCTGAATGTTAAATATTCATTTATTATATACTCAGATGATCTCATATGGTATCAATAGCTGGATGGTGTCTAAACTGTTATTTTGTAATCAAGAACCATGGTGATATATGATTAGTGTATTAGTGGTCTCTTTACAAGTGTATCATGTATACTTGCACCACAGGAATTTTGGCTGTTGTTTTACCAGGCATTTAGGAACTTACCCTTTAAAAACTTAGACATATGCGATCGTATTCCACACTTCTCTGAGGACATCTCCTCCCCCTTGGTGTCCTGAAAACATAAATCAGAATCTCATCCTTTGATCTAATTAAGTTTCAATGCAGTACGATCCTCATTTAGTGAAGCTGTCAAGTAACGCCTTAAAATGATATATTAAAGTCAGGCTAATGCCTCTTTTGAAGTGAAAAGAAAGAAATATGGCTTTTACTCATGCACTACCACATGAGTACTACATAAATGATAATCAGCTCAATTAGGATACTTAACAAAATGGTTTGTGTTTCTTCTATTTGGATTGCATTAAGACAATATCTTTAGAGACTAAGTGTAGATCTAAGCATAGATTTTATGCTTGTAACTAAAATTACACGATTAAAGGAATAGATCACCCAAAAATGAAAATCTGCTGAAAATGTACTCACACTCAGGCCATTTAAGCTGATGAGTTTGTTTGTTCATCAGAACAGATTTGAAGAAATCTAACATCACTTGTTCACCAGTGGATTTTATGAAGCTATACTTTTTGTGCAAAAAAAAAAAAAACTTTATTGCCCAATTTCTTATCTTCTGTGTCAGTCTCCACTGCACATTTATGAGAGTAACACGTGTTTTTTTTTTACACACAAAAAGTGTGTATGTTCTTGTAGCTTTATAACATTATGGTTGAACCACTGATGTTGCATGGACTATTTTAACAATGTCCTTACTACCTTTCTGGGTCTTAAACGTGGTAGTTGCGTTGCTGTCTAGGGTCTGAAAGCTCCCAGATTTCATTAAAAAATAACTTACGGGTTTGGAACGACATGAGGGTGAGGAATTAATTACAGAATTTTAATTTTAGGGTGAACTATCCCTTTAACTGAAAATTTAGATTGACAGCTGTGATGAGCATTCACATTCATTGTGTGGAAAGGAGCAGCTTGAACATTCTTCAAAACATCTTCTTTTGTGTTTTACGCAAGAGGGTGAATAAACAATGAAAGAAACTTGTGAAAAAGTATGGCAACATTTAAATATTTCTGTAACAGGGACTCAAGATGTTTTCTTAAGTGGCCCATTGGACAAAACCTGTGCATCTCCATCTGATTAATGACTATCCATTGTCTAATAAACAGTAATTGAATGGTCTACTGCAGAGGCCTTGAAAGCCTGGGAGAGCTGCTCGCGGCCCGTTCTATCGTCTGGGGTTGATTATGGTTGACCTTGTGTGAAGCGCACTTTGAAACAGTGAGTCTAAGCTGGGGAACTGTAGCCAGAGAGCAAAGCAGAAGATAAATGAGCAGATACTGTATTGACACGGCTAAAGGAGATCAATAATGTGATCAATATCTATTTGATTTTTATCACAAAACTCTGTGGAGGAGGAAGACGATTGATCAAAAGTGCCAGGACACTTTGGCATATCTAACAATATTAATTAGGAAAAACTGCTTAGGTGACTGATTGCTAAATCAGTCAATATTGTTAAAATCAAAACAAATGATTTCTGCATTTAGATGTATAGCCTATTTCTTTCTCAGGATGGATTTACTGTAAGCTTTGTACTACAGTAATTGTTTTAACATGCTAAATGAGTCCTTAGGCATAGTTATTATGATAAGAGTTCATAGAAGTTAGAATAATTACTTGTTTAAACATTACATTATAAACTATTGTGATTAAGTCAAGTTAAAGTATTTTATTGTTATCTGTTCCTAAACAAATGCATTTGATTGTGAAAATTAAGTGATTCTAAATAGCATTTGAAAGCACAAATATACAGTGCACACCCAGTGTTGAAACTTTATTTCGCTAATTGAAATAAAGCTGAAATAAAATGAAATATAAATATTAGTTGAAAAAAATAACTAAACTAAATATATAAATTAGAAATGCTGGCTTAATGAAATACTAAATAAAACTAAATGAAATACACAAGTTCAGGTTGAAGCGCTAAAATTAATTTACTAATACTAAAACTGAAATAAATAAAAAAATAAATATAAATAATAAAAATAAAACTAATATAAATGACAAAAGCGCTTAAAATTACTCAAACTTAAACTAGATTTAAAAATGAAAACTAAAAATATAAAAACAAAAGCTAATTCAAAATATTAATAAATACCACAGTAGTATAATGCTAAAATCACTGTTCACAGCCATAGAAAAGTACAATTAAAATTATATAATTAATATAATTATTAGTTTCATAACAGGGACTGATTTTGTTCTCTTTTCCATTCTCCCACAAAATCACAAAACTTACTTCAGCAGATTTATTTGTGATTTATCTGTAAGTAAATTGTATATAAATACCAAATCATTGCATACACTTTACTGTAAACAATAAGTGTAAACAATCTTGATGTATTTATGACAGCTTAACTTGTGCTGGGGTTCAGTGTGTGTTAATGCAAATCAAAAATGGCATCATTTCTGTTAAGGAGGCTGTTCTGACTAAAACACTATCATATAATTGAATCTGTTCATCAATAAAAAGCGGAACTCTAGTAACAGTAGCAGGCGACATAATTCAAAGGCACGTCAACGATGAGGTAATATTTATTTTGAAGCATGACTCATATATAGTGAATGAAATGTTTTAAGAAGCTTTCAAATATATCAAGCTTTTAAGAAGTCTTCTTAAATTACATGCTTCTAAAAGATCAGAGGGTCTATGGATAATAGCACTTTGTCACCAAAGCAGCATTTTTACATTATGATTTCTTGCATACTTAGCTCAGGTTCTGTTGCAACAACATATTTGTTATGCTTTTTTTGTCATGCAAACATAATAAGGCTGCCATTGTAAAATATTTCAGAGATTAAAACTGTCACCTCGATATGAAATGCACAGCAGCTTCATAATAACTCATTATCACAAAATATCTAGGCCATAATGTACACGTTACTGTCAGAATCTTATGAAATAGATCTGTTCGAGGGTCATAATCAAGCGTTACGATGCTGGATAATAAACACGGCCGGACAGGAAAAGAATTGCACACAGCTATGTGTGCAATGGGAATACAAGCCTTCAGCATGCGAATATTTATTGGACATTGTTGAGTGCTGGGGAACATGGTTAATGGTTAACATCACGCAGTCCTTCTGAGCAAGTCCTGCAAGATTAGCACTTACATGTCTTTAGTGCCGACACAGTGAACGGTCATAAAAAGGAGCCCTCATCCGCTCTTGTATATCAAATCATGTTTTGAGCGGTGATGATTATTCTGCCAATTAGTTGAGGCTGGACTGGTGAGAATTACTACTCACTATTACACATGGTCCATTCCCGAGATCTACAGCCACCCTCGATTTGGCAATCTCCATACAGGACTAAATGTGATAAGAAATGAATTATACTATTGATGAGGTCCTTAACAAGGTAATAACCGCGCTCCCCAGTCAATAATTATTCCGATAAGAATATCTTTATTATGAAAATGCTGACTGCAGCAGAAAGTCACAGCACCAAAACAATACCCAGTGGTGTAATTGCCTTTGTCTGAAATTATAGTTTTCATTAAATGGAATGCTGCATGTTATTGATTGTTTAAATAAGACTCGATATCTTCCTGTTTCAAAGCACTGTGAAATTGCATGGCATTGTAATATTCCAAAGCATTGTTGTGTCTGTTCATCAATGTTATGAGATTCACACTATAACGAGTCAAGGACTATTGGCAACAATAACTGCTGTATCTAAATGGGCTAATTTTATGGGGTTAGATCACAGACAAAAAAAAGAAAGAAAAGCAAATCGCTGCCTCTCTCCTCATGACCTCATCTACTTTGTGAACAGAATGGAGAGGGAATATGACAGACATGTGCTGCGTTCCATTCAAAGTCAGTGTGGGATATTCCCACTAAAGCCATAACCCAGCTAACAGGGTAGTTCTCAGAACGTTGGCTGATGTTCTGGAAAGATTCTCTCAAATTAATGAACAAACATTCTTCAAGTAACATTAATAGAACATTAGTTCAAAGTGATCTGGTTTTTAATAACATTCTCTAAAAATCGTTATGCACACAAACCTTATTGATGCATCTTTGATGGATACATTGTTCATTTTTTCCTGAAATGTTGTCGTCGCTTGTTCATGTAACATTTTTAAAACATTACTACTTGCTACTTCATTCAGAATTCAGAGAACTTTCAAAACTAGCGTTCCCATAATGATTGCAAAATGATGAAATAGAACGGCTTTTTTTACAACAGCCAAGAAAAAATATTTAAAAAACTGGATGTTAAATTTTGAATGTTAAGAAAACGTTTAGAAATGTTTTCACTACTTAATGGTAACATTAGCGAAATGTTCTTGGAACATAATTTTGTTAGCTGGGAAAGGCCTTCGTGTTATGCATAATGAAAAAATTGCCATTTCTGTTTCTGTTTGATTGTCAAAAAAATAAGTCTCAAAACAACAACACTGTTTTGAGACAACCAATACTAACGGTTATTTTGTATGCTTAAATTTTAGTCAACAGATTCAAATCAACAACAACAACAAAAAATTTACTGTGCACACCTGTCTTGGCAGACAAAAGTTTTAGCATCTTAAAATAGTACAAATCAGAGAACTGGATGTTAAATTTTGAATGTTAAGAAAACGTTTAGAAATAATGTTTTCACTACTTAATGGTAACATTAGCTAAATGTTCTTGGAACATAATTTTGTTAGCTGGGAAAGGCCTTCGTGTTATGCATAATGAAAAAATTGCCATTTCTGTTTCTGTTTGATTGTCAAAAAAATAAGTCTCAAAACAACAACACTGTTTTGAGACAACCAATACTAACGGTTATTTTGTATGCTTAAATTTTAGTCAACAGATTCAAATCAACAACAACAACAAAAAATTTACTGTGCACACCTGTCTTGGCAGACAAAAGTTTTAGCATCTTAAAATAGTACAAATCAGAGATATTTTATGTTTCGTATGTTCAGTTGCATTTTTCCATGAGTTGTGAGCTTCATACTTTTGGTACTTGTTGATCTAATGACTGTTCCCTGCTCTCTCCATGTCTGTTGGGTTGGAGGTCTCTTGACTCCTTCATACTCGAGGTATATTCTGAGATATGTTGAAAGGCATTGTGTTTAAATTTCCTACATTGCAATCTAAGAGAATCAGTGGTCAAAGCACAGTAAAGAAGACACAAAGTAACATGGGTTTTTTAAATATTCAGATTCTATGCTGTGAAGGCATTACTAGGGTGTAAACAAAAGTTTATTTTACCTTATTGGTTCTAGAAGGGGATGACCTTGTTGAAAAAGCTGCATTTTGATGGTTTTTTAAGTTTTTGGCAGGGCTATCACTTCCTGGTCTGGGGTCTTTGTAGGAGTTTTGTTCCTCCTCAACTTCTTTTACTTCAATCTGTGGGAGAAGAAAGCATTCAGCTTTTTCATTGTTGCATCCTAATTTTAGTATTCAATAATCTTTATGACTGAAATGTGACATCATGTATATCGCTTGTCGTTTTCACCTGTTCAATAGGAAGATCCACCTTCATATTTTCATCTTCCAGTACTTCAGATGCTACTACTGCCTCCTTCCTTTTGTTGGTGGCTCTGAAGAAACTTTTTTCTGGAGAGGGCGATAAATCCTAATTACATGCTAATCATATGTTGGATGCATCCATTAGTACACAAAATTCTCTTCATTTTTAAAAGCATCCAAAGTTTCATATTTAGAAAAGTTGAGGACTGCATCAACTATCATCATAAATATTTCATCTAAAGCAACTATTAAGGATTTTACGGTAAACAGATAGGAGGTGCATGTTTTTCTAGCGTTTCAAAGGCCCGTATGATAGAAAACATTTAAAATCAGAGCATTAAGTCCATTAGTCCATTAGTAAGAACCTTGAGACCCTGTTTCCACTACTGAGCTTCGATGTTCGCAGTGAACAAAATGACACTTTAAATAGACAGGCTCTGTTGCGACTAAATACAAATCAATTAATATTTGTTACAAAATGCTCAATATCTTCTCTCAAAACATAGGCTATTAACACAGACAAAAAATATGAAACGTCTTGTTTCAGCAGACAAGACATGAGGGTTAAAGTGATAAACATCCTTCAGCATTACCCAGAACACTTCACTTCACCTCACATCAAATCAAGTCCGTCCAAGCTCAGCACTTCACAAAGCATTTAATGGGCTTTCTTGATCCTGAGATGCAAACTGCATTCATCTGTGCCTTTGACATTCAAAGGTAAGACAATCTTGGCTAATGATAGGCTGATAGCAGATGCACTCCTCCTCCAGAAGGTGATGGGAATGGCTCTCGCAGTCATGGCATGTTTGATTACCCCTCTGCAGCGATTGATGTAGTTAAAAGGAGGTTTTCTTGTTTTATTTTTTTCAGTTTCTGCCATTAGGAATGGCATTATGTGGATCTTCTGCCCCATGGGACATGATCAAGTATCCAGAGTAGGTATGAGCCTTCATCGAGGGGCTTTTATAAGCATGGCTGCAGACATACCGTCCGAGGCTAATGCGAGATCTGCATGAGTGAGGGAAACTCAACTCCATCACAAGGACTGCTGGCTCGGCTCTTATGAGCAAAGTGATGGCAGCTCCGGAGCGCCTGCAATTACTCACTCAATGACCTCATGGCATGTAAAAGACACAATGCACTTGCTCAGTCAAAGTCTTGTTCGGTTAATCCAGTGCACAAAAAGTGTCAATCTCATTCACGTGTGCCCCCTCAGATTTGTGAGCCAAATGGATTTAGAATATAACGATATATATATACAGTGGGTACGGAAAGTATTCAGACCCCCTTAAATTTTTCACTCTTTGTTATATTGCAGCCATTTGCTAAAATCATTTAAGTTCATTTTTTTCCTCATTAATGTACACACAGCACCCCATATTGACAGAAAAACACAGAATTGTTGACATTTTTGCAGATTTATTAAAAAAGAAAAACTGAAATATCACATGGTCCTAAGTATTCAGACCCTTTGCTCAGTATTTAGTAGAAGCACCCTTTTGATCTAATACAGCCATGAGTCTTTTGGGGAAAGATGCAACAAGTTTTTCACACCTGGATTTGGGGATCCTCTGCCATTCCTCCTTGCAGATCCTCTCCAGTTCTGTCAGGTTGGATGGTAAACGTTGGTGGACAGCCATTTTTAGGTCTCTCCAGAGATGCTCAATTGGGTTTAAGTCAGGGCTCTGGCTGGGCAATTCAAGAACAGTCACAGAGTTGTTGTGAAGCCACTCCTTCATTATTTTAGCTGTGTGCTTAGGGTCATTGTCTTGTTGGAAGATAAACCTTCGGCCCAGTCTGAGGTCCCGAGCACTCTGGAGAAGGTTTTCGTCCAGGATATCACTGTATTTATATATGAATAAAAGCCTACATTAAAATATGTCATATAAATTGGTCTCCTCATTAGAAATTAGCCTACTGATTGCCTCCATGGACAAAAATAATAATAATATAAAAAATATCTGACACACATATACATATATGGCATGTTCTGCAGTTCTTCCCTGCTGTACCGAATATCGATACTTTTCAAAGTATCATATCTATTTGTGAGATAGTTTAAGTTAAAATGGTAATTAAACAATGTTTATATATGAATAAAAGCCTACATTAAAATATGTCATATAAATTGGTCTCCTCATTAGAAATTAGCCTACTGATTGCCTCCATGGACAAAAATAATAATAATATAAAAAATATCTGACACACATATACATATATGGCATGTTCTGCAGTTCTTCCCTGCTGTACCGAATATCGATACTTTTCAAAGTATCATATCAAAGTTAGAAATTCAAATATTGTGACAAAATTAATTTTGTAGGGTGCCACAAATTTGTTAAAATTTCCAAAGGGTGCCGCGACTAAAAAAAGGTTGGGAAACACTGCTATACAGTGCTTGCATAAAGCAAGTAGTGCATACACTTGTAGCTGTTATGTATCTTTGTAATTCATTGTAAGCCCCCTTTTGAGGCACGCACAAGCGCACGAACCCCCCCACCCCCTCGTTATAACAAAAAAAACAAGTGGGCTCCCCCAAAGTCCACGGTATAGTTTGAACACTGTATATATATACTGTATATGCACATATAAACGACAAATAAGAAAAAAAAAAATTTAAAGTTGCACAAATTTTGTAAAGAAATAATAAATGAATTCTTTAAAAATTATTGTATATTAATATATTAGACTATCATTCAAATGATTCTTTTCTCTTTCTAAGGCCTGGGACACACAAGACGATTTTAAAATCTTATCTGAACCAAGACAGTGAACTGAAGAAAGTTTCAACAGATTTTTAGCCTTATAATCCTCTGAATGTGCACACTAGATGATTCGACCAGACCACGAGACCACACACTTGTTAGGAATGATTTCACAGTGACACAAGATCTTAAGGAGACTCGAAGAAAAACTCGTAGCGAACAATCGGCATTGTCAGCTGGCTCTTCTGGCGGTGTTCTGTTGTACAGTGAAAAACAAAATCTTTCTCAGTACTCTACTTTCGTAGTAGAGTATATGTTTGTGGCTACCAAGTTTCAACTATAGAACCACACATCCGGTTGGTGACACTTGCTCACTCTCATTGGCTGTATCATGTCAGAGGCAGCCCGATCAAGAGTCATAAATATCAAAAATTTCAGTTTGGGGATGCTCCGTCTCAAACAGGAGCAGTTAAATACCTGTAATGACACCACACAATAGAGACAGGACAGAAAATCATTTGCGACAAGCCTCAAATTGGTCGTTTGGGGGTGCAAATCGGGCTTAAAATCGTCCTTAAAACCTTCAAGTGTGTGGTCAGCCTTATGCTCACCAAAACTGCATTAATTTAATTAACAGACGGTTCAAAAGAACCACGTTTATTTAAAACATAAATGTTTTGCAACATTATAAATGTTTTTACTGTCACTTTTGATCAATTTTATGCATCCACACATACTGAATAAAAGTAATAATTTCTTTCAAAAAATCTTGCTGACCAAAAAATGTTGTATTATATGAGCAATATCACACGAGTAGCAGTGCAATATGGCTGTATATAGGCACAGCTATGATTCGGGCCGAGTTCAATAGGTAATCACAGTGTGCCGATATACAGCCATATCACATGGCTACGAGTGCGATATTGCATTTATACAACAGTTCAACAGCACAAGTGTGTAAATTCATGTCGGCGCCGATGGCTTCGTGGGCAGCCCAGATTCAAATCTCTAATTGATAGCTGAGCCAAAGCCTCTGTTACTAATAATTCGAAAACGTCACTAGTAACGAAAGAACTTCGTTGTTTCATTGAAAGCTTCTTGTATGCCTGTATTAAAATCTCATTTTATTATGTATTACGTATATTGAGAGAGACTGACTGAGAGAGTGTGATTACCTGCATCTGATATAGCATTCTTTCTTCAGCTCAATCTCATATTCACAATTAAACATTAGTTTGAAAATACACTGAGAAAAGTGATATCTTTGTCGCACTATCCTTTAATCTGGAGCTGACGCCCTGGAACTCACATCTCCTAAAAACATCAAAGCTAATTTTCAAAAAGACATTATCTTTATTTACTAACTGCATATGTGAAGTCTAAAAAAAGTACATTCTTGCCTTAAAACTCTTAAAACTGCATTCCATGACAAAAAACAGTATTATTTATAAAATGATTGGATTATTGGATTATTATTGGAAAATTTGGGGATTTGGGCATCCGCCATGACACTCGCTGAGTGAGTGATACAAAGGGTGAAAAGGTTGGAGTTCTGATATCACTAGAGAATCACACTCCTCTCAGCCAATCAGGTTTGAGGACCAGAAAGAACTGATGTATATTGTTACGGCCCAGAGTGTTCTCTTTTTAATATTTGTCCACTAGGTGATGCTTGAATGATTTATGATTGCTTGAAAACGGTAGCTATGATGTAAGTCTTTATACGCAACAGAGTGAGAGAGACTTGGTTAATGAAAGCAAAAGAACAGAAACCAATATAGAGAACCAATAAAGAAAAATCAGAGAGAATGAGAGAGAGATTTCTCATGAATAACTTATGATCATTTTGATTACCTATCAGAAAAAAATTGAAACATTTTGTTTTCCCTGGCATAGCTAACAAGGCACTTGCATACATTTTAAATGAAATGGCCTGATTGAAACAGTATTATTTATAAAATGATTGGATTATTGGATTATTATTGGAAAATTTTGGGATTTGGGCATCCGCCATGACACTCGCTGTGAGAAATACCGCAAGCGGAGTGATACAAAGGGTGAAAAGGTTGGAGTTCTGATATCACTAGAGAATCACACTCCTCTCAGCCAATCAGGTTTGAGGACCAGAAAGAACTGATGTATATTGTTACGGCCCAGAGTGTTCTCTTTTTAATATTTGTCCACTAGGTGATGCTTGAATGATTTATGATTGCTTGAAAACGGTAGCTATGATGTAAGTCTTTATACGCAACAGAGTGAGAGAGACTTGGTTAATGAAAGCAAAAGAACAGAAACCAATATAGAGAACCAATAAAGAAAAATCAGAGAGAATGAGAGAGAGATTTCTCATGAATAACTTATGATCATTTTGATTACCTATCAGAAAAAAATTGAAACATTTTGTTTTCCCTGGCATAGCTAACAAGGCACTTGCATACATTTTAAATGAAATGGCCTGATTGAATTTATCTGTGATTTAAAGCCCTCTGCAGCATTTGAATCCATGCTGTGCTTTAATATTCCTCTCACAGAACGGCATTCTATCCAAGAATGAGAGCGTATTTCCCTAATGTAGGTGGGCTTTAGAGAACAGCCTGTCAATTCAAAGCAATTTGTGGCGCACACACACCCGCGCTCACTGTATTGCGCCGCACACATGCAAGAGTACAAGATCCCTCTTTTTTGCCACTCTCTTTCACTCCCTTAATCATAAATGCATCACAATCACACAGCAGAGATGGTATAAGAGAAAGACGGAGGGCAAGAGAGGAGAAAATAAGACTTCTACAAAAACAACAGTCACAGTGCCTATCAGCAATTATGTAAAACGCCTGTCTCTGCCGAAGGAAGAGGTGGGAAACTGAGCTCTAGGGAGACAGAAGGAAAATCGTATCACAACTTGCCACACTCACCCGCCGTAGCAAAGAGATCTGGGATTTTCAAGCCCTGCCTGGGCTGTTTGGCGTAAAAAACGGAGCCGGCGCTGTCCACTCCTGGTTTTGCGAACTACGAGAGTAGAAAAAGCAATCTTCAAATAAAGACCATACATGGCTGATTCGATCTGATGCTTAAAGAGTGTCTACAATTCTTTGATAACAAGAAACAACTGTTTTCGAACACAGCTCATTCTTCCTCTTTTACTCTCTTTTTCACATTTTCCATTGACCTCAATTTTTCATGAGCTGATATGCTTTGTAGCTCCCCAGCGACCGGCACGGTATTGAATTCATCTGGTTCCAATACATCCCATGCAAAACCTATCAATCACCAGAGAGCACAGCAAACTAATCATTTATTGATGAAACAGGGCAGTCATGAATTTCTAACTGCAATAGTCTTATTTATCAAGCCAAATCAAACAATGAGGATCCAAACAAGCTTTAAAAAAGAGACTTGGAGGGAATAACTTATTCTTCAGCAGACAGCAGACAGTTATTGATGATGAAAAAAGAAGACTGGGGCACTGGAGACACAGAGAGACAGAACAGTGTGAAGAGGAGTTTAGAGTGATGCTTTGACAGCAGGATGCATGTCTGAATTAATACTCCCACAAAAGGTAATTTTCTTCCAGCAGTCAGTGCATACCAGTTCTACCATTGGGAGCAAGGTGAGCCATTTCTGGCACAATGAGGGAAAGAGAAGGCTTAATACATTTTTCTCCAGCTCTTGTCACTGTTAGTTGGCTCCATAGAGAGGCAGCTTGGGGGTACTTTACTGATCTCCGTCTTCCACTGGTACACACTTCGGGCAATGGTGTTTGCAAGCCCACTAACATGGGTCCTGGGGAATAGCTGAATATTTGTTCTACTCACTTGCTTTTTAAAGCAAACTCTGCCTGACATGTCTTTGAATTTGAACAGACATTGGTGGGCAACAGAGAAATAAAACAACAGAATGGCCAAAAGTTCTGCTGGAATATTCTATTCATATAGTTCGAATTCATTCAGAATTCACATTCATAAATGACACTCTCGTGATGAACGTGCCAAATTCACAATCTGAAAACTTAGTGGAAAAATGCTGAAGTCAAGAAGTTGTTAATGTATTACAATATTTGTTACGTATCCAGTCCATGAACTTCCGTCTGCTAGCCATCAGAGGTCACCATTTTCATTGACTCTCGCACTACACACTGTTGCATAGCACCCCGGACTACACATCCCATCATTCATTGTACTGATTGCACACAGCACTGATTGCACACAGCTGTTTCATATCTCTCACTCACTATATAACACTCACTCAAACAACCATGCTCTGCCGAGTATTGCTTAGCCGGTTATTATTCCTAGTTCCTGTTATCCTGTCCGTGTTTCCTTGTTTTGCCTTGCCTTGTTTGTTTTCTCGGATTCTGATCTTTGCCTGTTTTCCTGGATTTATCCCTCTAGTCTCGCCCCTGTGATTCTGTCTGCCGATCGTTGACCTACGATAGTCCTAGGACTATTCTTGTGTTTTGCCTGCCATATACCTGTTTGCCATTGTTCGACCCTGCCTGTTATGACCATGTCTCTTAAATAAAAGCTTGCAGATGGATCCACATGTCTCACGTCTCGTCAGCCCCGTTACAGAATACTCGGCCACACAAGGATCCAGCGGCTTTTCAAGTTAACATTGGCCAGGTATGGAGCCCATTCGTAAGATGGCGGCCACACTAGAGCACGCTCACAAAATGGTGGCGACCGCGGAGCACGCTCACAAGATGGCGGACACAACAGCACCCCGTTATGTCACAGCTGCCCTTCATGAGTCCTGTCAAGTCACCATGGATCCTCCCGAGTCAAGTCAACTCACAGCAGATCTTCGTGAGGCAAGTCAAAACACACCTGTTCTTCATGAGTCCAGTCAAGTCACAGCTGATCTCCCTGAGTTCGGCCAAGTCACGGTTGATCATCATGAGTCAGGTCAAGTCACAGTTCATTATTATCATGAGTCTAGTCAGGTCACAGCTGATCTTCCTGAGTCAAGTCTAATCACAGTTGATCTTCCTGAGTCAAGTTTAGTCACAGTTGATCTTCCTGAGTCGAGTCTAGTCACAGTTGATCGTCATGAGTCAAATCGAGTCACAGTTTATTATCATGAGTCTGGTCCAGTCACAGCTGATCTTTATGAGGCAAGTCAGGTCACAGTTGATCATCATGAGTCAAGTCAAGTCACAGCTGATATTCATGAGTCTAGTCAAGTCCCAACTGATCGTCATGAGTCAGGTCTAGTCACAGTTGATCGGCATGAGTCCAGTCAAGTTACAGTTCATTATCATGAGTCAAGTCAGGTCACCGCTGATTTTCCTAAGTCAAGTCTAGTCACAGCTGATCTTCCTGAGTCAAGTCTAATCACAGTTGATCTTCCTGAGTCAAGTCTAATCACAGTTGATCTTCCTGAGTCAAGTCTAATCACAGTTGATCTTCCTGAGTCAAGTCTAATCACAGTTGATCTTCCTGAGTCAAGTCTAATCACAGTTGATCTTCCTGAGTCAAGTCTAATCACAGTTGATCTTCCTGAGTCGAGTCTAGTCACAGTTGATCGGCATGAGTCCAGTCAAGTCACATCTGATCTGCCAGAGCCTCGTCACATCTCAGCTGTTCGTCCAGAGTCACGGCACGCCTCAGTTATTCATCCAGAGTCACGTCACATCCCAGCTGATCATCCAGAATCATGTCCCGTCCTGTCTGTTACACCCAGATTCTCAAGGTCAGCCCTTCGGTATCCCAGTCTGGTATCCAGTGTGAGGGATGCACCGCTGGTGTCTGCACACACAGCTGGTATCCCCAAACCCACTCACTCTAACCCTTCTGTTCATGAACTCATTCCCCTGTCTGCAGCACTTCCCATATGGGGGGTTGCTTTATGGTGTATCTGGGCCGCGTACACCACCACCGATTTGTTAGAGGCAGCGGCACCGGCTACAACATCTCCAGACGTGGCGGCTTACGCTGCAGAACCTTCCGAGGTAGCGGTGTCCTCTGCTGTGCTCCCAGAGGCCATGGTATCTGCTGCAGTCTCTTCAGAGGTGGCGGCGCATGCTGCAGAACCTCCTGAAACAGCGGTGCTCGCTTCAGCTCCTTGCGTGTTGGTGGCGCCCAGCAACGCACTTTCAGCCTGTCCTGTTCCGGCCAAGGAGGCCGCCTATGAA